GAGATATTTGTGAAATAGTTTTTTAAAATATAAAGATTCTCATATATTAAATTAATTACAGATGTAATTAAAAGTTGCATTTTAGTCTCTCTACATGAGAGTGTTATCTTGCCTCCTTTCAAGTCTACTTCTACAATTTCAAACTAATTAGAATCATTAATGGCGTCATCTTCTTCGAGTGATAGAGTCCTTTCTCAAAGCCTAATCAAACTATCTCTTAAGGAAAAAGAGGAGGATGGCGAGCTGGTCATGGATGGTGAAGCAGTCACTGAGACTCCGTAGAATTCTGGATTATGACTTGTTGGTAGGTTCTTAATAGAGCGGATAATAAACTATATTTAGAAAAAAATAAAAAAATGGAAACAAGTCAATGGCTAAAACTCTCACAAGGAAAAAGGAAACATTGTAAAATAGAACCCCATGGATATAAGGTTAATCCAATGGCTCAAGCAGGTCCCCTCATTATGTTTGATAATGCTAAAGCAGTGCGTCCTTGAGTCCAAGCCCGTCGAGGACTATGAGTTGCTTGAGTTGGAACTGTCATGGACTGGGCAATCCATGAACAGTCAGGTCCTGTGGGATCTAGTTACTTTGCATTAGCCCATGTTTATATTTTTAATTGAGACGAAAGCAAGTATGAAGTAGAGTAGAAGCAATAGTGTTTCTTTGGCTTATGTTGGAAGTTTTGTATTAGATTGTGTGGGCTTAAGTGGTGGTCTTGCATTCTTGTGGAAAGTTAAAGATTCAACCTAATTAATTAGTTTCTCTCAGTACCATATTGACATTAAAATTCTTCTCCCAGATTATTGCCAATGGAGACTTACAGGCTTCTATGCTCGACCTAAACGGAAGAATCGAAAACAATCCTAAGCTCTCCTTAAATCCCTCGGTAGCTAGTCTGATCTCCCATGGTGTTGCTTAAGTGATTTCAATGGCCTCTTATGTGAATCAGAGAAGTGGGGCTGAATACCACACACTTAATGGCTTCTAAATGGGTCTCGACATGCAGTGGAGGATAGTGGGTTATTTGATATTGGACTGGAAGGGCATTTGTATACATGGGAAAGAGGGATGGGTACCGTTAATTGGGTTGAACAAAAATTGGATATAGTTTTAGCCTTTGCATCATAGATCGACAATTTTGGGGATTGGAAAGCTCTTAATATTTCAACCACCTCATCAGATCACTCGCCCGATCTTTCTCAACTCCTCTATTGCGTCGAATAGAAAAGCGAGCAACAAATATCAGTTTGAGAATATTTGGTTGTGCGATCGGGAGTGCAGGATATTGGTGAAACAAAGTTGGTCCTACGATCCATCCCCTCATGTTCTCTAAACAATTATCGATTGTGGATAGACCTTTAGTACTTGGGGTGGTGGCTTCCTCAAACAGAAACAGAAACAGCTATTCAAAATCCAAAAGTTAATGGCTCGTTTGCGTCCTCGACGTGACACAGTCTCGCTAGAGCAATATGAATTAGCCAAGAAACAACTTGATCAATGCTTAGAAGACATGAAGCTATATCGGAAGCGAAGATCAAAGTTGTTTTTGTTAAAAGAAGGGAATTCGAATTCCAAGTTCTTCCATTCTTGTGCTTCTAATCAGAAAAAAAAGAATTCCATCTCTAGATTGTAGGATAAAAATGGTGTCTGGAGGGAACAGGGTGTGGTTCTTAATGAAATCACGGTGAATTATTTTAATAATCTGTTTGTGATAAGAGGATGTCAGGGATAAGCCATTTTGATTGTGTGTTAGCTTTAGTGTCAGAAGAGGACATCCGAGTTCTTAATGAAGTGTTTACAAGAAGGGAGTTAAAGAAGCCATTTTGCTAACCTCACCTCATCTCATTATCACAGAGCACATTTGTGCCCGGCAAGTTGATAAAAAAATAATATATTGTTATCCTATGAGGTAATTCATTACCTTAAGGGTAAAATCCAAAAGCACGGGTGAGGTAGCTCTGAAGATAGACATGAGCAAAGCATATGACCGGATTGAATGGGATTTCTTAAAAAAGATGATGTAACATATGGGTTTCAGACAGAGATGGTGCGAGTTGGTGATGAGTTGTGTATCCACGGTCAACTATTCTATCCTCCATTCAGGTCAAGAGTTGGGTCTGATCATCCCATAGAGAGGTTTGAGGCAGGGGTGCCCTCCATCTCCCTACCTCTTTATTATATGCTTAGAAGGTTTATCAGCTCTTCTTCGTGAAAAGAAAAGGAGGGGAGGTATTCATGGTTGCCCTATATCGACAGGGGCTCCTTCCATCTCCCATCTCTTTTTTGCAGATGACAACTATCTTTATTTTCATGCTACTCCGACTGAATGTCTCTACATAAAAGATTGCCTTATAACTTATGAGAGAGCTTTTGGCCAGCTTGTAAACTTCCAAAAGTCTTCTATATTTTTTAGCACCAACACTCGGGCACAAATGAGAAGACGTATCCGTGGTATGCTTTAGGTAGTTGAGATGGATGAGACAGACAACTATCTTGGACGACCTTCCTTTATCGGAAGGAATAAACAAGCTGCATTTGCTTTTTTATAGGATAGAATTCGGAAACACCTACAAGGTTAGCAAAAAAAGCTATTATCAAACGCTGGCAAAGAGGTTCTCTTGAAATCTGCGATTCAAGTGATTCCAACTTATACTATAAGCGTATTTTTTCCTTTCCACAGACTGTGTGCCAGGACTTGCAGCGGGTAATGAATAGATTCTGGTGGAATCATGGTTTGTTAAACCAAAGAGGGATACAATGAAAGAGTTGGGAGAGAATGTGTTGTAGCAAAGTGATGGGGGGGATTGAATTTCAAAAGTATTCATGAATTCAATATAGCATCGTTAGGCAAACAGGTCTAGAGGATCCTTACCTAGCCAGAAACCTTGATGGCTCAGATCTACAAGGTACGTTACTTCCATGCGTCATCAATAGAATTGGGTTCAATCCCTAACTATATCTACGAAGCTTGTTAGAAGCAGTCTCGATGGTAAAAGAACACTCGATCGAGAGAGTAGGTAATGGTAAGTCCATCTCTATCTGGACTGATCCTCGGCTCATGGATTCGAAGAACACTAGGGTGAATACACCTTTTCCTCCTTACTGTGAATTCTTTACTGTTAGTTCCCTTATTGCTGAGGGTGGAGGTCGTTGGCGGGCTGAGATAGTGCACCAATTGTTTAACATAAAGACAGGCAGTGGATTTTCTAGATTCCCCTGAGCACTAAGAGCAAAGAAGATGGCTGGTTATGGAATATTGACAAAAAGGGATGCTATTTTGTCAAAAGTGCTAATAGGAAGTTATTATGAATTTCCCAACAGTTACTACAGTTGAGTTTCAAAATTTTGGCAAAAGGTTTGGAATTCAAAAATTCCAAACAAGGTCAAGGTTTTTATTTGGCGTATTTGCAACTCTTGCTTACCTGCTAATTCATTACTGATTAGAAAGGGTGGGGAAATGGATAGTACATGTTGTGTTTGTGATATTGGGATGGAGGATCTCTCACATGCATTTCTAGATTGTAGTTTTGCTAGGGAATGTTGGCAGCAAGCTCTCCCTAGTGTATTGATTGTGTATGACCTGCATAGAGAAGCTTCTCCTATAGATTGAGTCTCCAACATTTTTATGGTATTGCAGTTAACAGATGTACAGTTGTTCTACATGATACTGTGGGCTTTATGAAGGAACAGAAATAAGAAGTTGTGGCAGCAGGCCCAAGTCTTCAGAAATGTACAACACCAATAACAAAATGGGACTTCTGTTAAATGGTCCAAGCCACCAGCTGGGTTTTTAAAGTGTTACATTGACGCATCTCTGTGTCAAGGCGTTGTGGCTGTGGCAGTTATCTGGGTTGTCCGAAATGAGGCAAGGAGGGTGCTACATGCGTGTCAGACTTGCCTACGAGGTGCACAAGACTCCACAACTGCAGAGGCCTTATCTTTCTGGGAAGCCCTTTGCTGGACAAGACTAGATATCAACACAAAGTCATCTTCGAAATTGATTCTCTACAATTAGCTCAAGTTTTTCACAGCAGAAACGATGATTGGTCTTACCTTGCAGACATGTGAAAGACTGTTAATATTTGTTTAAAGAACTAGTAGCATGTTCTGTTGTTTTTACTAAAAGATCAACCAATAGAGTTGTCCATATTTTAGCAACCCACGCTTATTCACTGTCTAGTCTTAAAAAGTGGGGTCATCTCCCTCCTAATTTCATTGTTCAAGCTGTTTTAGATGATTTAGTTGAATGAATTACTCATTTACTTTTTTTTTTAAAAAAAAAGAAGTATAATATCATGTCAAAACAATATTACAACTATTACCTCGAATTTTTTTATGCTACGTTTATTTTTATTTATTGTTAAATATTCTTGAGCTAGCTTACTCAAAACTATTTTACTTCTTCTCCTAACCAACTTACTCAAAAAATGACATTTTAAAATTGCAATATCAGTCAATAGTTTTATTAACCATATAAAAAATCATTAGGACTCGGACCCATTAAAATTCATGTATCACTCTTGAAATCGTCTCATAATCAAAGGTATGAGGGCACAAACTAAGGTATAACCTAACAGTAGGTGTATATATGACTTAATAATACATTTAGATTCGAATTGTATCTCTCCCAATACTAAAAAAAAAGCTATGAGCAACGTTGGTTGGGATGGAGCGGTTAGAACTTTTTCTCCCTTAACCAAAGGTGTCTTGAATATGAAAATTGCCATATTAAAAGGGTCATTCCCTTTATGGACCCTGTAATCTGGTCGAACATCCTAGTTCAGTGGGCTTTTGGATACATGTGGTATGAGGATCGGCAGAGAAAAAAAAAAAAAACTCATGTATTCTCATCCTCCGTCGCCTGTGATAATTTTTTAAGAAAGAAAAACAAATAGTTGACTCCGTCATTGTCTCTTATTCCTCACCTCTTATTCTTGAGTTTATTCGATTTGTTTCCATCTGAACCTAAATCATATTTTATTGCATAAACTAATGAAAAATCAGCTATCAAGCTGATCTCATTTACACTAATCCGCGTTTCAACTTGTCTCTAATTACACATTAATCATTTCTTTAAGAAAAGGAAGAAAATTTTGCTCTTAAAGATTCCATTTCCATTATTGGGTTAGGTTGTTTCCATCTCCATGGGAGAAGAAGCAAGAAAACTTTCAAACGAATATGAAGTTTCGGAAATTCTTGGCAGAGGTGGATTCTCAGTTGTGAGAAGAGGTATAAATAAGTCAACATCTAAGCATGTAGCCATAAAGACACTAAAAAGATTAGGAGCAGCCACATCACCATCACCATCTCGAACTACGTTTCCGGCATGGAAGAAGCAGCAGCAGCAAGTTTCGATATCAGACAAGCTGCTTACAAATGAAATGTTGGTTATGAGAAAGATAGTAGAAAACGTATCACCTCATCCTAATGTGATTGACCTTTATGATGTGTATGAAGATCAAAACGGTGTTCATCTTGTGTTAGAGCTTTGCTCCGGCGGGGAGCTGTTTGATCGGATTGTTAGGAAGGATAAGTATTCTGAGCGAGAAGCAGCTACCGTCGTTAGACAGATTGCAAAAGGATTAGATGCTCTTCATGGTGCTAATATTGTTCATAGAGACTTGAAGCCTGAAAACTGTCTTTTCTTGAATCAAAAGGATGATTCTACTCTGAAGATTATGGATTTTGGTTTGAGTTCTGTAGAGGAGTTTACGGATCCAGTTGTTGGGTTGTTTGGTTCCATTGATTATGTTTCGCCGGAGGCTCTTTCTCAGGGTAAAATTACTTGCAAAAGTGATATGTGGTCTTTGGGAGTGATTTTGTATATTCTGCTCTCAGGGTGAGTTTTTTTCCTTTTTTTCTTTTTCTTTTCTTTTTCTTTTTTTGACTTTTCTAAATAAAGTTTAAATGATTTTTATTTCTTTTTCTTTTTTCATAATGTTTTCAGGTATCCACCATTCATTGCCCAGTCAAATAGGCAAAAGCAACAGATGATAATTGCTGTATGTAAATTTTACCGTTTGATAAAATGAATTTTTATAAAATTTGAAGGAATTGGTTTAAAATTCGCATTTTATATTTGGTATAAATAAAATTTTATAGTTCCAGTGAAATTAGGTATGCTGAAATCAAATATTTTTTGAATTGATGAAAAGCGATGGCATTTGAATATTTTATAAATTGTAGAATTCCTTTATTTGATTGAGATAGATAAGTTATAACCCAAGAAACTGATAAATTACCTGATGGCTTCCATTCTATCATTTCAGAAATTCTTCCTCGATTTCTCAATTCCATCATTTTCAAATTGCTTAATTTTGTTTTAAAAATATCTTTTAAATTTATGAATTTTGTTTTTCCAATTAAAAAATGGAATATGAAGTCCATAAATTTCACGTCCCATCCATCCAAATGACAAATGCCACTAAAGTGGACAGAATTTACAAATGAATTACAAACTTAAAAGCACAGGTCAAAGTACAAGCAAAAAAAAGCTGTATGTTTAAAATGAATTGTAAAGTTAATAAAAAAAATACGTAAATTTATTTTAAAATGAATTTTTTGATAAAAATTATTTTGAAATGAAATGAATTCCATATGAACTATATCAAACATTGTGTTATACTCTTTATGTGGTACAGGGTGATTTCAGTTTCTATGAGAAGACGTGGAAGAATATTACATCCTCAGCAAAGCAATTGATTACTGATCTTTTACACGTTAATCCTGATAGAAGGCCAAGTGCTCAAGATGTAACAACATTAATTTCTACTCTATTCTTTTTTTTATTTTTAACCTGAATCTATTATCAGACCGTATTTACACTTACTGCTAGGCTATATCTTGATGTGCATTCATACTCTATTCTTTCTTACAAACCATCCGTAACATGCATTAATTGTACAAAATTCGACTGTGATGACAGATTCTAAGTCACCCATGGGTTATAGGTGATTCGGCGAAAGAGGAGCAGATGGACCATGAGATCATCTCCAGACTGCAGAATTTCAATGCCCGTCGCAAACTTCGTGCTGCAGCAATAGCAAGCGTGTGGAGCAGCACAGTGTTTTTGAGAACCAAGAAGTTAAGGTCCTTATTAGGTTCCCATGACCTTAAAGATGAAGAAATTGAGAATCTTAGGATACATTTTTCAAAACTGTGAGTATTCCTCGCTAATTTTAATACCAAGTAAGTTTTAATCTTAATCTAGTTGATTGGGCTACATAAATTTATCATTTCGACATCACTAATTAGCATGTTATTTTTCAAAAAACTTTCCTCTATCTGTTTTATCAGCCTTCACCGTCATTATTATTAATAATCCCATATTGATCAAATACTAAATTAGGGTTGTGCAAATATTGAACCGAATCAAACCATAAAAACTGAAATAATATTTTTTAAAAAAAAAAATCAAAATAAACCAGTCAATTCGATTCAGAATATGTCAGTTCGATCAAATAGTTTTATTAAGAAAATAAATGCTTTGTAATGATCGATAGAAAGACCGAACATCGAACTTATAAAAGATTGAAAACCTAAACAAAATAACCAAAAATAATTCGATATAATTCTATATTCATTTTTTTTTCAAAAGTTACTCACCCCTATATCAAATTCATAAATGTCCTATAAGAATTGAAAGCTAGTAAGCTAATTATTTAATACTATTTGAGCATTGATTAGCCTAAGCTCAACTTAGAGCTTTTGAGTCTCGAAAGTTCCATAAATTGATCTATTAATTAATTAATTTCTTTTTTTTTTTTTGGGGTGGTTTGCAGATGTGCAAAAGGTGACAACGCCACCCTGTCAGAATTTGAGGAAGTGCTAAAGGCAATGAAAATGTCGTCTCTAATACCTCTGGCAGCTCGCATCTTTGATCTGTTTGACAACAATAGGGATGGAACAGTCGACATGAGAGAAATACTCTGTGGCTTCTCTAGCCTTAGGAACTCCCAAGGAGATGCTGCTCTCCATCTCTGCTTCCAGGTTCTCTTCTCATTTCACTAACGCACATATTTTATTCAAGTAACAAAACTTGGTAAAAATAATAGATTTTCCCCACTAAAATTCAAGAAACATGATTGAGAATCCAACTTATTTTAAACCCTTTCATTATGTTTTGAATATATGAATTTCATGAAAATTTTATAAAATACATAAATGTTCATTTTTTTGTGTTTGAAATCTGAAAAGAAAAAGCAGATTTTAATTCCATGCAGTTATAGATGGCTAAGCTAACACAATTTCTATTTAAATAGGGGAATTTACAAACAAATTCCATAAAACTAGCAACCTCTTTTTCTTTTGTCTTTTGACAAAATTACTATTCTTTTCCTATTATTAAATTATTATGTAAAGGATAGAGAATAAAAACAAACGAAATTATATTTATAAATTTATTTTGGATATAATTTTTTATTTATCAAACATGAAAAATTCATTTATAAAAATAAATTACTAAGTGAATTATGCGATTCGGTTATTCCAAACATAATATTATTTGTTAATGAAATAAAATACTGATTCTTTCTTATGAGACATGTTTGACTCATTAAAATGTTAATAGTTTAGTGATATTCTATATTTTCTTAATTCAATTTCCATAATTTGGCTTCACAAAAGAATTCCCACAATAAGTTACAAAAAGTTTTTTTCATTCAATTTCTATAATCACAATTTAATACACCATCCAGACATAGTCCTCGTAAACATGATACAATAAAATTTTTCAACTACAACAGATCCAACTAATTTGCACGTATTGCCTATAGATGTATGATACAGACAGATCTGGATGCATCACTAAGGAAGAAGTAGCGTCCCTGCTGAGGGTAACGCCAGTTTCTTTACTCTTTGTGCAGCTTTGTATTTTTTTACTGCTATGAGAAATGGGTTGTTGACATTAACTTTGCTTAAGCAGGCTTTGCCAGAAGATTGCCTTCCAGCAGATATAACAGAACCTGGAAAACTGGACGAAATATTTGACCGGATGGATGCCAATAGTGATGGAAAAGTTACCTTTGATGAGTTCAAAGCAGCCATGAAGAGAGACAGCTCCCTGCAAGATGTGCTTCTCTCATCGCTTCGCCAACAATAATTCTTATTTTCCAATTATGTTATTTGCTCTCCCCAAATTTTGTCTTTAGACATTTCCTCGTTACGGCAATAGAAAGCTGCAACAGAATACTTTTTGCCAGTTGCAAGTAGACAAGGAGTCACAACTTTCTCATTCCAATGCTTTAAATGGGTTTCACTTTAGCAGCAGAAAACCTTTGTCAACTACCTGACATACGTTAGACACAGACCAACAAGTTATCATTAATTTGTTAGATATTTTCTCATTATTAAATAATTAATAGATACAACCCGAAAAATATATCTAATTTCCACTTCAACCAGGATAACTTATTTTTTTGACTAATTTTCTAAACACTAAAAAATATGGAAACTATTTTTCATAAAACAGAGGGATGCTTATATTCAGCTTAACCACCAGATCTTGGCAACGATCATGTACCCTTTTATATGAATAATTGCCTTCATCTGTTTGCTGCACCAAAGGTCCCATTTGGATAAATGGTTGTTTGAAATTATTGTGGACTTGAATTTGAATTCTAAATGTAAAATCATAAAATATATATATATATATACACACACACACACACACAAAATATAAAATTCTAAATACTCAATCATGTCAAATAACTATTTATTCAAATTCAAATGGACCTTAATATTATTGAGTTTGGGAATAGGAAATATGGTGCAAGTCTTCAAACAGAATTGAGTTTTGCTGTTGTGAGCACGTTCCCCATAAAAACATTATAAGTGAACGTGCTCTGCAATATGAGAAATAGCAGCTGAAAAATACACCTACAAGTAATAAAAATGGTAACAATGCACTATAAAAACTCAATCGAACAGCTAAGACATGCTCATAACATCACAAACCAATAGAATTTCAATTTAATTTTTGGTATTAAAAAAGATTCAAAATTTTTATAGTATTTTTCTATTTGAATAACTTAAATTTTAAATGTTCCTAACTTTGAATATAATTTTTAAGAATAACTAAGGTTTAGATATCCTTTTTGCAAGGCCCCAAATGGAATCTTGCAAAATCAAAACAAAATTAGGAGAATATATTCCCTAAATCCATCCGTTCTATTATAAGATTGACCAACAGATGGCAAGCAATTAAAGATTGATAAATATAAACCAGTTACTATAAATCATCTCCATCAATACCTTTTGTCAGATCACTGCTCCTATCATCAGTACTGTCATTAGAATCATCCATGTCATTCCCTTGGCGAATCCCACAGGCTCTTTCATGGGGAACTGTTACATCCATCCAACTGAGATCCTCACCCTCCATGGTTCCCAAGTCCTCCACCCAATCTGCCATGTTCACATCAACAGCCTCCAAGCATACAGAATCAAGGGTACCTCTTGTGCGCCAGGACTTAGTTGTTTCTATTGGCCTGCTTGCACGGAAATGAACCAGCATTAACATTCCTTAGGAGGGTCTTAAATGAAGACACATGTATTATGCAGCACATAATGCACAAGGAATACTAATAAGCTAATAAGCAAAACATTGAAAAAAGCTTGTAGCCAAACTGATAATGTGGACACTCATTGTGGGACGAAAAAGATATCAACCCATAAATTGTCTGCTCTATATTTTGCAGAAATCCTTCCCCGTCCCAAGAGAAGCAGGAAAAAAACTGCTCTTCAAGTTCTCAACTTATGACTCAAATCCCAAACCAATTTAATGCACAGTGTCTATTTTCACATAGGCTGACCCCATTTACCTTAGATCAGAAACTCCTTCCTATAAACTGTTTCATTTAATTAAGGATCACATATGATGTCTTAGATTTACCACCGCAAGGATGATAACAAATAAATAATTAACCTAATATCCATGGAAGATTTAATCAATGAGCTTCCTTTATTGTCCTGGATTATTTCCCTATGTTATCATTTTTATTTCAGGATAACATTGCAATATAACACAACACTGAGAAGGGGGCCATACATGGGTTTGATGCTTGCCTAAAATTTTAAGGCATAGCAGTCTCCCAGTCCAAGCTTAGAAGACAGAGAAGTAAAAAAAATAATAATAAAAATAAAATAAAATTCATATAACTAATCCAGATCCTAGCCCAAAAATAATGTTTCAGATACCAGAAACTCTTTTCAAAAAGATTTAATTAATTTTTAAGTTTTTTTACTATTTTCACCCACACACAAGATTCATATTTAAGTTTTAGTAGCAAGCTGCTGGGAAAGTTACCTCTCCTTAAGGTACAAGTTATAATGAATAAATAAGAGGTCGTTCAACCTTTGCTGCTCCAACCGGTTTCTCTTCTTTGAAAGGACATGCTCGAACAAGTTCCATCTCCTCTCACATCGGATGATGCTGCAGGTTTGACTTAATATCCTTATAGCTAACCGCTGCAGCTCAGGGTAATCAACTGCATAAAGCGACCACCAAGTAGCTGTATAAACAGAAAAATCCATTTAGTACTTAATCAGAAAACTAGAACTTAAATTGTAGAGTAAAACACACTTTTACCAACTTTGACAGAGAGCTAACCTGGGGCTAATGACTCTCGACCACGTAATGCCACAGGTCGACCAAAATCCCCCACAGCTTCCTCATAACATTTTATCTGGCTCGTAATCATGACTTGGGCAGACAAATTAGGCTCTAAGGTTTCTATGCAATCAAGTAAACCTTTTTGGATGATTTTGTTGGATGAGAAACTGGGTTGATAGAATACAGATGGGTTGAGATAGTGTGCAGCTGCATGAAGAGGACTATGGAATTCCTCTTGCCAAACATGATCAATGACCTTCAAGTGAGATATGTAATTTAATTCCTTGTCATTGAATGCAACATTAATGCTTTTTTTTGCCTTTTCCATCACATCATATATATATCCCACAGGCGGTTTATCTGGACAGTCCATAAATTGTAAAGCAGAAAGTAGGGGCTTTGCAACATTCAAAGTTTGATCACATAGAGACCAGAAAAGTGGGTCCACCAAAATTTCGGCAACCTCAATTCCTGCTCTTTGCTTAGAAAAAGAAGACTGCATCCAAGAGGCACTGGTAAACATTTGGTGCAGATGTTCCCTGAAAGATACAATGGTTTGCAGTGTTAAAAAGATAGAAGCAAACCTTGTTCTTGCAAGCTGGATAATATCTCTTCCACCTGTTCTCTTTCTCATCAAATTGAGGACCCAACCATTGTTATATATGAACTGTGTTATCCTTTTAGCCTTTGCTAAAACATCTTTAACTTCATCACTTTCTCCAATTTCTTCAAGCATTAGGTCAATGCAGTGTGCTCCACAGGTGCTGCAGAAAAAGGTCTTGTATTTCTCGGCTAAGAGTTTTCCGGCAGTTTTGTAACTGGGAGAAGTATCAGTCACAAAATTGACAACGTTTTTGGGTCCAACTTCTTGAACAACACTATCAAATATGCTAAGGAGTGCTTCAGCAGATTTTGTGACATCTGATGCATCCACAGATTTGAGGAACACGGTACCCTTGGGACAATAAACAAAAAAGTTTATCACTGTGCGATCAAATCCATCCACCCACCTATCAACTAACAGTGAACACCCAGTCACTTCCCAGGACTTCCTCAGTTCTGCAGAATAGTCCCTTGCTTCCTGAATACCTCTGTTCAATAATTTACCCGTCAAAGAATTATAAGAAGGCATCTTATAACCAGGGCCAACAGCAGCAATACTATCAGCCATCTTCTGGAAATAATATGAATTTGCTGCAGTGAATGGTATGCCAGCTTCATAAAAGAATCTAGCAACAGCAACATCAGCCAGCTCTATGTTCTCTTGGGAACCAAAACTCTGGCGCATATTTCGAGAAGCAACAAAATTTTGCCTCTTGCGTCTCTTTGTTCGATTTGATGTCCCTTCCAAAATATTTTTACCCCTTCTCCTGCTAGCCATCTTCTTCAGTGGCCCTAAATCTTCATCATCATCTCCTTCTCTATCTTGCAAGTAAGACATATGGGAAGTCTTAGTGCCGTTTGCTTCTTTTTGCTTTTTTAACTTCTCCAAAACCTTGAAACCTAAGTGTTGTTGAATCTGAACCTTAACATATTCAGGTACATCCTCACATGGAGCTACATTCCCTCTTTCTCCAGCCAAATGTTGCTTCAATCTGGAAATTCCCCCTCCAAGAAAAATTTTATGACAGTATTTGCACTTGATTTTTTGTCGACCACCATTCACCATAGTTCCATGGGCCCATCCAGGATCAGTAGCTCGGGGAGGAGCCAAACTCTGAGGCAGGAGGAGCAAAAATACAAGAAAAATTCAGTTGTAATTGAATTTTCATGTTTGAATTCACTACAGAATTCATTTAAAATAGGCCTAATGGCTTAATATACCCCAAACCTTACAACTTTTTGCAACTCTACCTATAAAAATTCAACTGATTATACCACAATTTGAAATGTTGTTTGCAATTATACCCTACTGGTCCAAAAATGACAAAAAAAAACAAGAAGATAAATTTGTTTAACCCGAATAAGAAAAAATTAAGTTCCTAATATTTCTCCCTCGCTCCTCTCCATCTTCACTAACTTGCCATCCCTTTCTCTCTCTAATATACAGAAGAAAAAAAAAAATAAAAGAAAATCATTATTAGGAAATTTCTAAGAACCATTTAAGAAATCAAAATGAATTAGAAATTTTGGAATGCTGAGAGTATTTCTAGGCCATTTTGGTGGTAATGATGGTGATAATGACAACTAGGAAGTTCTTGAAGTGTATTTGACGATTTTGATAGCATTTGCATGGTGGGTTCTTGATTTTTGGTTTTTACTTGTACAATTGGATTTGAAACTTGAAAAAGAGAAGTATTGGGCAATGATCAATAACGAGTTTCTATCAATCGATTCATATAGAGATGCAGGTAGTGTGAGAAGGAGAGAGACAATGGATGAGCAAAAAGTAGTGGGAAAAGAAACGAGAGAAATTAAAAGATAAAAATATTTTTTAATCATATTTAGAGTATAGCATTATTATTTTTACAATTTTTAACCAGTAGGGTATCATGGCAAAAAAACGTTCCAATTTGCAACATAATAACTTGAATTTTTTAAATTAAGATAGAATTACAAAAAGTTACAGAGTTTGAAATACATAAAACCCCATTAGGCCTTTAAATATTTAGCTTTACCAACTTGTTACTAATACATTAGCATGTGTTATTGATAAGTTAAGCGTTCATTTGCAAATTCTATCAGTTTGCAGAATTTGATACACAATTCCATTAAAAATATGTAATTCTAAATAAAATTTTCACATATTCCAAACATGAAAATGCAATAAAAATGAAATTCAATTATACCAAATAAGCTAACTCACTTGGTTCTCTTTGTATTGTAGAGCCATCAAAGTCCCAAAAAGCTCGAGTCTCCACCATGAAAGGTTAATACTCTAGTAATATGATATCAGAACCACAACAAACAATAAAACGGTTACTGTAATGCTTCATTTACATTGATAAATACATCACTTACAGTAAATCACCTGCACTAAAGCTACAAAGCTAAGACTATGTAAATTCAAAAAAGAAAAACGAGAGGGAGAACTCATCAAGTAATTCGCTTACTCAGAGGGAAACTTCCGATACGATATCGGAAATAGCTGACTTGTCCACCGATGCCGAAAAATGTCGAAACAATAGAGTAACACTTTGGAGCGGAATCGGCAGGTGCTTGGGTCCAGAATTAACCGCTAATATCGTCAGCACCGAAGTTCCTATCGCCGAAAATTCAATAGCCGGTAACGTAGATTCAGTGAGAAGAAGCTATAAACGGAGGTAAGAAAAGGGGCAGATTTCGTCGTCTCGTTTCGTTTCCTAGTGCCGTCACGTGCAATTTTTTATTTTTTTTTATTTTCAATGCAATTATAGGTAGTAGGATACGGGCTTGGGCTTGAATATTTTGTCCAAGTCCAGCCCGTTTTAATGAATAGGATGGAGTTGTGCTAAACTCCAACTTGTTTCAGGAATGGTCATGATTCTATCAAATCGAAAAATCTACGTAAATTAATTGGTTTGATTTGATTCACTTTTTCTTTTTTCTTTTTTTTTTTAAATGAAGAATACTTCATTAATCAATATTATAAGCATCCAATAAACAAGGGGAGTAGACTCCCAAATATTCAGACGAGCATAACTAACAGAGGCTCTGGCTAAGGAATAAGCCCCAACACTTGCATGTGTTCTAATCTACTTAACATTAATATAAGACCTAGTCAAAATAAGTTGTCTACAATCAGACACAGTTAAACCAAATTCAGAAATATCAACCAAAGTCAAATAAATGGCATGGGCTAAAACTTGGCAATCAGTAAAAATGATACCACCAATGGGAGAATGGGAACAAACATAAAGAAGGCAGTGATGAAGCGCAATAGCCTCAACAATTCTAGGTTCGCCATGACCTTCCTGGAAGCCTGAGATTACACGAATAAACTTGCCTTCCAAATCCTCAATCACAACCCCAAACCCGACCATGTCTTGAGCTTGGAAGCATGTGCCATCAATAAATGCTTGCCAATTAGCTTATGCGCCTAAACTTATCCTTGCACTATCAGTAGCCCCACTCACACTAGGTGCACTGACATTAGTGAGTAAAGTTGACGTAAGCCTCCATTCCTGCATGTAAGAGTAGGTAACAGCATGCACACGAGAGGGAACAAGCCACTTTTGCTTCCACAATAATTCATTCCCAGCAAGACATATCTTCCACGCAATAATCGCAAACATTTTAGCTGCATCCCTTCTGTTTTGATCATAAACCTAAAAGAAAGTTTAGTGAAAGAGATATCTGGCTCATCGATGGCGATACCCCTATCCCAATAATCGCAAACATTTTAGCTGCATCCCTTCTGTTTTGATCATAAACCTAAAAGAAAGTTTAGTGAAAGAGATATCTGGCTCATCGATGGCGATACCCCTATCCCAAGCTTCTAATGCCCAAACACACCCAATCAAAACGTGATCTATTTCCTCCACCGAATCGCAAAACAGACAGCCACGATTAAGCTCAACCCCTCTTCTACTTAATGCTTCCTTAGTAGGGAGGACCCCACGCATAGCTTTCCACATAACATCACGAACCTTAGGGGGAATATCTAATCTCCAAATCCTACTCCAACCACCATGTTGTGAATGTGTAAAACCTCTCCCTAAAATACGTTCACAAACATGGTATCCCAATTTCACAGTATAGAAACCCTTTTTATCAAAGTGCCACAATAATGAATCCTCCCTAGCACTAATGCTAAAAGGAATATTAAGAATGGCCCGCACATCTCTTAAAGAAAAAGGTTCATAAGTTTCTCCACATCCCATTCCTTACCCCCATTCCTAAAAGGATCACATACCCTCAACATCCCATTAATATAACTACCACCCTCATCCGCTAGGAAAGAATCACTTTTGGGGATCTAAGGATCAATAGCTACAAATATATTTTTCTTGTTACCCACTCTCCATCTAACCCCTTGTTTAAGAACATTAACCGAAGACAAAATACTTTGCCAAATAAAACTAGGATGATTACCTAAAGGCATTAAAAAAATCCCCACGTGAAAAATATTTAGCTTTAAAAACCTTATAGAAAAGTGGCATAGCCAAATTAAAACAATGGGGATCTCTAAAACACATATCTGCCTCCCTTTTATCTCCACACATCTTGTCCCAAGAAATCTAATTAATACACCTAGACCCATCCCTCTTACCCCTCCACTAGAATCTATTCATCATAATTTGAATATCTCAACATATTGACATTGTGAACCCCTTCCCCAAAAGCACATAGGCATGTGATGCTTATGATGAATGAGAAGAAATACACGTGATGTGTGTGAGTCGCCACCTTGTTTGAGTCGCCACCTTGTTTAATTATTTTAGGGTAAACTTGGAAAAAACCCTAAAGTGACATTCCCATTTTTTAATTACCTAGTTACTAGATTAATCATCCCAATGGTTTAAGGCAAACAATCCTACGAACCCGAGGGTTGGATCCCGAGACCATTCAATGTCTGATTGACTAACCCAAAAAAGAGTGAAATGCTTTGCAGGTGATGATGTAAATTGGACCAAAATGAATGTAATGTGATTTTTGATGATTTCGACTTGCCAAACCCGGGGTGAAATCCCGAATGTGCCTCTACGTAACTTCCGTTGATGGAAGATCAAAAGTCAACGTAGTTTTCGATAGGCCCCTTCTTTGAAGGCTTTGAATGTATGCTTTTAAATGCATGAGTGTGATGCTTTGTGCATGAAGTGTGTGTGTGTATGCTTTGTGCATGAGTGTGTATGCTTTGTGCATGAGTGTTTAGGCATTTTGCCAAAAAGATCGATTGATTCGATTAGGCGTTCGTCGCCAAGTGTGTTGGTTTTAAGGCATTTGTGCCAAAAACGGTTGTCGGGCGATTTGTCGCCAAAATCGGTGTTTGGGCTTATTTTTGCCAAAAATGGTGTTCGGGCTTATTATTGCCGAAAATGATTTTGTCGGGCGATTTGTCGCCAAAATGGTTGATTTAAAGGCTTTGAGCCTTGCCAAAAATGGTCGATTTTAAGGCTTTGAGTCGAAAATGGTTGATTTTAAGGCATTTTGCCGAAATTGATCGATTTTAAGGCTTTTAGCCGAAAATGGTTGATTTTAAGGCTTTGAGTCGAAATTGTTCGATTTTAAGGCGATTTGGGTTTTAAACCGAAAATGGTTGATTTTAAGGCATTTTGCCAAAAAATGTCGATTTTACGCGATTTGTCGCTAAAATGGTTGATTTTACAATTTTAAACGGAAAATGGTTGATTTTAAGGCATTTTGCCAAAAGATTGATTTTAAGCGATTTGTCGCTAAAAAAAATGGTTAACCTCATTTATAAGCAATTTGTTTGCTAAAAATCGATTAGACCGTAGGCAATTAGTTGCCAAAATTGATTGATTAAATGTAGGCAATTTTGTTACCAAAAAACGTGATTAAATGAGGCCGTTAGCCACAATTATTGATTAATTGGACTTTTAGGCGAGATTGTTCGAAATAAAGGCAATCGAACAATAGTTATTAATTAACTAGGCTCTTTAACCAATATTGTCGGATTTAAGCTTAACTACCACGGTTATTAATTAACCGGGCGTTAAACTTAATCATGTTTTATTAATTAAAAAGCAGTTTATTTGCCACAAATGATAACATGGAATGCCATTTTATGGCAGTTATAGAATTATTGAGAGTTAAGAAGAGAAATTGCATAGTACTATAATTTAAATAGGGCAGATTTTATTTGAGTACCTGATTTAATGGCCGACCACTTCTTAATTCCAGATTTAAGCTCCTTGATTGGGAATTATTCGTCCGTCAACACAGACAGGGGTGCCAAAATTGGACTTATAGGCCATTTTCGGGTCCAGGGCGGCAGGTGCCGCCTGGCTCGGCGGTAGCTGCCGCCTGGGAGGGCGGCAGGTGCCGCCTAGTCGGTGGGGGGGCAGGTGCCGCCCATGCTGGGCGGTAGGGGCCGCCCAGTCGGTGGGGCGGCAGGTGCCGCCCAGGCGGTGGGGCGACAGGTGCCGCCCATGCTAGGCGGTAGGAGCCGCCGTGTCCGGCGGCCGGCGCCGCCGTAGCTGGTGGTGGCCACCATGTCTCGCTCCGAGAGCTTTTTTGGGAGTTTCCGACCTCCAATGACCTCCAAAAATCATTCCGGGACCGGTTCTGCGATCCTTGTAAATTCCGGACGTTTCAAGTACCATATTACATATTTTTAGTGAACTTTCAAAATGGCCTTCGGTCCGGCCGGACTGTTTGCAGTCCGGCATTGACACTGTAGAAAGTCCAAATTTACTGTAGAAAAGTCAAAATTTACTGTAGCAAGGTCCAAAATTTGAGTATTCAACAGTTGCCCCCACTGGCTATCATAAAAATGATTTATGAGAGCCAGTGGCTGCGGACGCTGACACTCACGCTTCCATGACCGGCATCTTCGCCCAGGTAAGCTCCCTTTGCTTCTGTACTTTTGGGCCTTAGGCCAAATGTGAATTTTTTTTGGCCTTAGGCCAAAATTATGATTTTTGGGCCTTAGGCCAAATTGTGATTTTTCGGGCCTTAGGCCAAATGGTGATTTTTGGGCCTTAGTCCAAATGGTGATTTTTGGGCCTTAGGCCAAATTGTGATTTTTTCGGGCCTTAGGCCAAATCGCGATTTTTTGGGCCTTAGGCCAAATCGTGATTTTTGGGCCTTAGGCCTTCTCAAAGAAAAAAAAAATTTTTTTTTTTGGGCTTTAGGAGCCAAAATGTGAATTTTTGGGCCTCTGTGGCCAAAACTTGAACTTTTGGGCCTTCGTGACCAAATTGGAAATCTTTGGGCCTCTGTGGCCGAATTGGAAATCTTTGGGCCTCTGTGGCCGAATTGGAAATTTTTCGGCCTCTGTGGCCGAATTGGGCATTTTTTGGGCCTTTGGGGCCAAAACGTGAATTTTTGGGCCTCTGTGGCCAAATTGGGAATTTTTGGGCCGCTGTGGCCAAATTGGGAATTTTTGGGCCTCTATCTGTGGCCTGATTGTGATTTTTTTCGGGCCTCTGTGGCCTGAAATTGTGATTTTTCGGGCCTCTTGGGGCCTGATATGTGATTCTTCGGGCCTCTTGGGGCCTGAATGTGAATTTTCGGGCCTCTGTGGCCTGATTGTGATTCTTCGGGCCTCTGGGGCCTGATTGTGATTGTTGGGCCTCTGCGGTCGAATGTGATTTTTATTTTATAATTATAATTTTTTTTTTTTATGAAATAATCAAATGCATGGAATTATATTTGCAACTTAAAGATGTTTTAGTCTCTTTGAGGAGTTAAAAAGAAATTTTGCCTCTTAGAGGACTTGAAAAGATGTTTTGCCTCTTAGAGTGCTCGAAAAAAGATTTGTTTTATTTTTGTGTTTTTTTTTTCTTTGAGAACCAAGGGTCCACCTAAAGTCGAAATGAATGATCAAATGGCTTGGTTTTGGATGAAGAAAATGGTTGGCTATTGGTTAGGGTTTCCACCCTAGGTTTATGTAAAAAGAGTCGACTTATAGTGGGTTTTCACCCTGGGTTGTGTATGTTAACACTTGCCCCTGAATACGACCTGGAGGATTTCGCCCCCTGTTTGATGCCTTTATTAGCCTGAAATAGAATTTCTTCTTAATGAAAACTAGAAATTACCGTGATTTACTTCTGTGATGGGAGAATGGGGAAGGTCTTATCACTTCTTGCCCCCAGAATGGTGCTGACCATGGAATACTTCAAACCATGGAATATTTCAAAACATTGGTGTTGTACTTGTCCCATCGATTGAGGAATCAAGGAGAACAAGGCCACTGAGGAAATGGACAATGTGGATGACATCGCTCGTCTGAAAAGGATCGAAGAAACGATGGTCAGAGTGGAGATGAGGTATTAAAGAATTACCTCTCAATGATTATGTTTGACATTTTTTTTTAGGGATTGTTTTGGAAATCTAGGGGATTGAATTGACATTTTCCTCTCTCTCTCTTTTTTTTAGAGGAATGACTCAAAGAGTAACTCTTTCAAAATGAACTTTTGAGAATGACTCGATTTAAACTTTTGAAATGACTCCAATTTTTTGTTACTCCTTGTGGAATGACCACTGGTGAATGGGAGACTTGAAATTTTAGAGACTCGATTTTTTAGAGATCAAATTTTCTTGTAGTGAATTTTGACTCGAAGGAACTTAGTGTTCATCCTACAGAAATGGACCTCTCTAAAAGAATTCAATGAAAGCACTTTTTTTGTTTTTTTTTTTTTTTTACCTAGTAAGCCAACCTTTTCGGGTTTTCGACTCTTAAGCAGGCTCTTTGCCCTAACTTTTGCCTAGACCGCCCTTTCGGGTTTTTTCAGCCTAGCGGGCCTTACTTCTTGCCTGAAGCCGCCCTTTCGGGTTTTCCAACTCCAGCTTTTATTTTTTTTTTTTCTTCGCTTTTTTATTTTTTTATATATATATATATATTTTTTATAGCCTTTGCGGCTGCCTACGTATCTCCAAGAACTCTTCAGGGGATGGGGAGAATCAGGTCTTTCGTAGTTCCTTCCGGGATGCGAACTTCGGGCTTGGCTAGTGCGGAATTCATCTCCGACTGGATGTTAGCGCAGAATTCCTTCCCGTTTTGGTGCGAAATTTATTTCTAACTCGCTGTTGGGGAAAATTTTAATTCTCACTTAATGCTGATTGTGGAATTCATTTCCGATTTGATTTCTTTGAGATTCCTTCCCGACTTGATATTAATACAGAATTCATTTCTGACTTGATTTCTTCGCTGGATTCCTTCCCGGCTTGATGTCTTTGCGAGAGTCCTTCCCGCGGG